TGCACAGACAGGCCTGAAGCTGCCGTTCTCACTTCAATTGAAAACTCGAGGCTGAGAGGCTCCTGCAAAGCTGGAGTCCTTGAAACCTTGGAGTGTGAGCCCAAGTAGCTCAGTATATCACAAAATAAGGTATGGCATCGTTACCACCACATTAAAAGACTTTTTTAAAAAGTTTATTGAGCCTAGAGAATCCTACAAAGTTAACACTTCTCTGCACAGGTTCAATTTCTGCATCTCAGACCAGCTGATTCAGGACACTATCACTTCCGTGCACCCTCTCTCCATTCTTTCTTCTCGGTTCCCAAACTAGTACTCATTGTGAGTCTCACTTCCGATAGAAGATCTCTGCCTAAAAGACCTGCCTGGCTCATTTTCCTCAGGTAGCTGATGGCAGGGAATGGGGGTCAGGATGATTGGGATTTATTTAATATGGATCATGGACTCTATGAATAACCCAGAAAAGATCACACACAAAACTAGTGCCATAATAACACTGAGGACAAGAATGATGAATCCGCTCCAAACTGATGGTAGTGACACTTGTACAACTCGTCTTGGTTTGACTGACTACTGAATTGTGTCATATGTGAGTTTATGCCAATAAAATTGTTAATCAATGGAATAAAAACAAATCTCCATGCATTGGTACCATTTATTCTGTAACCTTGTGCGATCAAAATACTAGTTTCATAATAAATGTCAATTATGAATTAAGTGCATACATTGCTCTAGTGGAAATGCCGGGCACATGGTCGGGATCATCAAGGTTGTGCTGGATGGTTAAGCACTTTACTCCTAAATGAAGGGCTGTTCATTGGACCACGTGCAGGGGACTCATGGGGGACTGGGCTGCCGGTCAGCTTCCACAACGTCACAGCCTTGAAATGCTTACTGGGCACACGTGGTGTCACCAAGAGTCAGAATGTCGCTGGGTCAGTCTCAAAAACAATGTGTCCCTTGTAGAAAAACCACACCCTGGACAAAAGGGCACATCATAAGACATAAGCAAGTACATTTCCCCCAAAGTTAATAAAGATCAACTTTTTATTCTGTCTATTTCAATGTCAACACTCCTCTTTTAAACCTTGGGTAAAAGGTAGACTAGACATCATCTGCAAATTTCTCTACTTCTTTACTTGCCTTCAAAAAGTTTAATTCCCTCAGATAGAGAAACAATAACATAAAATCATTCCATTGGGCACCTGTCAGTATCATTTAGGTGAATTCACTGAGGCTATGAAAGGCATGTCATTTATAAGTTTTCTGCCCTGTGGACCATCAAAAATTCCTGTCTTCAGTTTTTCCCGGGTAACTGCAGGTAACTTATGTGCTATGCACTCAGCGCAAAACCCATCTTTATTCAAAGCCCTTATCAGTTGTTTCAGGGCTTTCTACTCCCATAAAGAGTTACAGTCTCAGAAAAATCACAGTGGCATTTCCACCCTGTCTTACAGGGTCGCTGTGAGTTGGCATTGACGTTCTGGCAGTGAATTTGAGAATGAAGTGTTAGGTTTTGTTAGGTAGCCAGAGCAGGAAAAGGGGATTGTACCTCCCATGCCTGTGAAGGTCCCCATAAAGGA